TAATAGAAAGCCCCACCTTTATCAAGTAGAATCTTGGGCAAATGCTCTTTTAGGGCGTGTTTGTATACAAATATATCCGCCCAAAATGAGTTTTCTGGGTTATCTATGGTTAATTTTAAAAAAACTGGTATGATTAGATTAGTTGTTATCGAGATTTTGAATTTATATTAAAATAATATTTTAAATAAAATATTTAAAATTGATTTGACATAAAAATATAAGAGAGATGATATGATGATGAAAGTGTGAAGAAGATAAAATTTGGGGGAAAAATCCCTTCTCTTTCTATTTCACTTGAATTGAAAATGACAAACAATCATATTACAACTATTTATACTGTAGCTAAAAAACAAAAGAGAAACGCGCCTCTTAAGCCAAAGTAAAACCCGAGATATTAAGGGAAAACCGAAAACAACTAAAACACACCAAAAGCAACTATCAACTAAACATATATGAAAATCCCATATATTCCACACACTCCCCTCAAGTTTCTCTGTCATGCCCAACTTGGCCACCATAGATCGAAAAGGCTAACCACAAAGAGACTTAGTGAGCCCATCAGCTACCTGTTGGGAAGATGGCACATAACTAGGAGACAACAATCCTTCTTTGAACTTGTTTCTTACCAAATGACAATCAATTTCCAAGTGCTCCGTGCGTTAATGGAAAACAAGATTTTCAACAATGTGTAGAGCAGATTGATTATCACATAGGAGAGGAATAGGTAGATGAAGAGGCAGCTGCAAGTCCTGAGAAATATAAACAAGCCATTGCAGCTCACATGTTGTAGCACTAAGGGCTCTATACTCTGACTCAGCAGAGGACTTGGAAACAATAGACTGTTTCTTGCTTTTCCAAGAAACCAAAGAATCTCCAAGAAATACGCAGAAACCTGTTAAGGATCGTCTAGTATCTAGACATGCCCCCCAATCAGCATCACAATATGATGTCACATGGAAATCATTTGATTCTAGATAAAACAACCCCAGAGAGGATGTATCCTTTAAGTACCTTAGAACATGCATAGCTGCTGCCGCCCAATGAGTTGTATATGGGTCATTAACAAACTGACTTAACTGCTGCACAGCAAATGCAATATCTGGTCTAGTGAGATTTAAGTACAAAAGCCTGCCCACCAACCTCCTGAAAGTGTCAGCTTCTAGTAAAGGAACTCCATCTTTCCTTTAAGAACTTGGCCATGGGCCAGGGGTGTAGCTGCAGCTTTGCATTTGGTAAGATACATATCATGCAGCAAATCTATAATGTACTTTTTCTGACTTAAGTAAGTACCTTGCTGCCCTCTAGCAATCTCTATGCGCAGGAAAAACTTTGCAAATCCCAAGTCTTTGATAGTAAATTCCTTGTCTAAATAGCTCTGTAAATTATCAATCAGACTCAAGTTGGGCCCCATGGTGAGAACATCATCAACATAAACCAAAAGAGAAATGAAGTTGTCACCTGTGGATTTAGTAAACAAACAATGATCATGTTGGGACTGTGTAAACCCATAGAGCACCAATTTTCCACAAAACTCATGGTTCCATTCCCTAGAGGCCTGCTTCAGCCCATACAAACTCCTTTTAAGTCTACATACTTCACCATCTTTCTGTTGAATAACACTGTGGACATTCCATATATATCTCTTCCTTTAAACTACCATGCAAGAATGCATTATTGATGTCAACTTGACACAAAGGCCACCTTCTAGCTGCACTAATGGCCAGGAACAATCTCACTGTGACTTGCTTGGCAACAAGAGAAAAACAATCCACATAATCAATCCCATATACCTGAGTATATCCCTTTGCCACAAGTCTGGCCTTATATCTGTCAACTGTGACATCATCTTTCCTTTTAATCTTATACACCCATTTGTTTCCAATAGCTTTTTACCTGCTGGCAAAGGAACCAAATTCCAAGTGTCATTTGTTTTAAGTGCATCCAATTCCTGCTGCATTTCCTTAACCCACTCTGCGCTATGCTTTGCCTGATTATAAGAAACATGTTCTTGAACAATGGATACATTATTCATGAATGCTATATAGTTGGAGGAAAAAGAGGTGTCAAATGCAAAAGGCAATGAGTAAGGAAAGAAAGGACTGGAATTGGTTACCTTAAGAGAGTGATCCATGGCAGCATGAGGAAGATGATGATTGGAACAACACACATAGTCCTGAATCCAAAGTGGTTTGGATTTATTTCTGTTTGGTCTATCTTGATGGGATTGAGAAGTTAAAGTCTGAACAGGAGCAATTTGGGCAGATGAATGGTCCAAGGGTTCAATGGAATCAACAACAGGGGTAGACATTGACAATGTGTTGGAGAGACCAGTTTCAGGAGATGCATCTTCATGAAGTCGAATAATAGGCAATGGCAAAGAGTTTGGTATATTTGGAATTTCTGTATGATAAGGGAAAATGTTTGGGAAAAATTTGACATCCCTGCTGATTATGATTTGCCTATTGTCCATATTGAACAATTTATACCCTTTCCTTCTTGTCTCTACCCCAAGAAAAACACATTTGTGTGACCTAGTGGTGAATTTGGTTTTATGAGGATCTGTATTAGCTGCAAACACCAAACAACCAAAAGGTTTCAAAGAGGAATAATCTGGTAGTGTCCCATAGAGAATTGCATATGGAGTTTTCCAGGTATAAAATGGAACTGGGGAGTCTATTTATAATATGAGTGGCAGTGAGTAAGGATTCTGGCCAAAGAGACATGGGAAGAAGGGAATGAAACATAAGAGACCAAGCCATTTCTAAAAGGTGCTTGTGCTTCCTTTCAACTACCCCATTCTGCTGGGGGGTGTAAACACAAGTTCTTTGATGTATGATGCCTAAAGAATGGAAAATATTTTGGCATTCTTGGTTTACAAACTCTAAACCATTGTCACATCTAACAATTTTAATGGTTTTCTGGAATTGATTTTTCACAAGAGCTATAAAGGAAGAAAGAGTGCAAGGAACTTGTGACTTATGCTTTAACAGGTATAACCATGTAGCTCTGCTAAAATCATTCACAATGGTCAAAGCATATTTTATCCCTTTCACATTACTATCATTGCAAGGTCCCCACAAATCAATGTGAATAATATAAAAAACTGAAGTGCTTTGCACATTAGAGGTAGGAAAAGGAGTTCTGTGTTGCTTAGCTCTAGCACAAACTTCACAAGATTTCAAGGATGCCACATTAGAATCTGAGAAATGTGACTACAAAAAATTCAAATGTTTCATAGTACTAACAGAAGCATGCCCTAACAACATATGCCAAGTTTCTAGGTCATTGTAATGAGGTAAAACATTCAAGCAAGAATCATTATTCAACAAAGGACAAGCAGAAGAGGGATTCAGAACATATAGCTTTCCAATCATCTTCCCTTCTGCCACCACTTCACAGTCTCTAAGGTCCTGCAAGGAACATTTAGAAGGGGTAAAAATGCACTGAATATTAGAGTCATGTGCAAGCTGAGAGACAGACAAAAGGTTAAATTTGAAAGATGGAATGAACAAGACTTCTTTGAGAACAATATGATTATTTAATTTGGCTTTTCCAGTGTGTGTGACCTTATTAATAGTCCCATCAGGTAGGTAAACTGCAATTGATTTGGTTAAGGGTGTGATGTCAAACATTTGTGACTCATTAGTGCACATATGCTTACTAGCACCTGTATCCAAGATCCAAGAACCCTTTCATATATCATCAAACATAGAAAGCGCAAAGTAAAAATCAAGGTTAGCAACAGTACCAGCAAAGTTTACTCCCTCTGAACCTGAATCACTCTCTGACCTTGCTTTGCCTCCCATATATTTCATCAGTTCTTGTGCAAAGCTTGCCATGTCTATACCTTTCTATGGATTCTCAACGATCTCTACTTGATTAGCATAGCCTTTTCCTGTTTTCTCTTTATACTCCTTATACCACTCAGGATATCCATGCAGCTTAAAGCACTCCTTCTGCTCATGTCCATTATAGCCACAGTGGTCACAAAAAATTTGTGCTCTCTCTTCCTTAGTTTTCCTGTTTGTGAAGCCTCGACCTAAGCCTCGGCCACGTGTTGAATTCCATCCTTGTCCTCTTCCCATTGACATTGTTCCTCTACCTCTATTTCCAAAGTCCTTTCCCTGTTGGACAACCACAGCAGCTACATCAGTAGAATCTGGATACATTGTATGCGCATTCCTCTTTCTCTCCTCTTGCAGTATGAGTGAGTATGCCTTGTTAACATTAGGCAATTGATCCATAAGAAGAATCTGACTGGTCACAGAACCATATGTATCATTTAATCCCATGAGAAACTGCATCAACTTGTTGCGTGAGTCCATTCAAGCAAATCCTTTGATTTAGCACAACCACACAGAGGTAAAGGTGCCAAAGTAGCACATTCATCCCAAAGCCTGTTTAACTTTGTGAAATATAGGGCAACTGAAGAATTTCCTTGCTTAATATTAGCTATCTCCTTCTGCAAGCTAAAAATCAGAGGTGCATTCGATTCTCCAAATCGTTGATTAATAATCTCCCAAAGTTGAAATGCGGAATCAACATACAGAAATCCTTCCACAATATCAGCCGAAATAGAATTTAAGATCCAAGAGGTTACCGTATAGTCGATCTTTTTCCAATTGACGTAATCATCATCTCCTTCCATAGGAGCAGTGTTTTTTCCATTGATGAAATCCAGTTTGTTCTTCGCTCCTAGTGCGATCAGAACAACTCGCTTCCATGGTAAGAAATTGTTGTCGTTCAGCTGAACAGAGACCAAATGCAAGCCTGAATGGTCGGAGCTTTGCAGATGCATTGGATCGTCGTGCGATAAGGTGATCTCGCTGGTCATCTCTTGGCGAGATCGCGAGGTCGATGTTTGCGCCATGAAAGATCGGATCGAAGCTTTAAGAAGCTCTGGATACTATGATGAAAGTGTGAAGAAGATAAAATTTGGGGGAAAATCCCTTCTGTTTCTATTTCACTTGTATTGAAAATGACAAACGGTCATACTATAACTATTTATACTGTGAGTAATGCTACAAGTACATAATAATGTACATAAAGGTGTACATAACACTCACGTTGAGTGGGACCCACCAAAAATAAAAGATCAAGTGGACCCAACTCGATGTGAGTGTTATGTACACCTTTTATGTACATTTATTATGTACTTGTAGCATTTTACTTATACTGTAGCTAAAAAACAAAAGCGAAACACGCCTCTTAAGCCAAAGTAAAACCCGGGATATTTAGGGAAAACTGAAAACAACTAAAACACACCAAAAACAACTATCAACTAAACATATATGAAAATCCCATATATTCCACATATGATGTGATGATTAGTTAAAATTCATATGATGCGTAAAAATGATTGGTTGATATTATTTAATTATAATGATAATAATGAAGAAAATGAGTTGGATCGGAGTTGAATTAGATTTTTAAGAATAAATTGAATTCATTTATATACAAACACATCCTTGAGCAACGTTCATTTTTTCCTTTTATTATTAAAATATATGATTGCAAAATGGATATATATGCATTTTGTATCATCACAACGGCTAGCTTAGGCATGCTTGTTTATGAAATAATTTGCTCAAAATGAGTTATTTTGATTAACTAGAGTTAAATTTGAAAAATGTAGTATGATTAGTTGTTAGTAAAATTTAATAATGTATTAGAATAATATTTAAAATAAAATGACTATTATTGATTTGATGTAAAAATATGAGATAAATGATTGAAAATGATAGGTAGTTAAAATTATGTGAGTGGATGAATAGTTAATTAAAGTTCGATGTGATGTGTAAGAATGCTTGATTTATAATATTTAATACAATCTGAATCCATACATCAGTTTACATACAGTAAAGCAGCTAAAATCAACCATCTTTCATGCTACCAACAATGGCAAAGACTACAAAGAATCCAACTAAACTGAGTCCTCCATGACAATGATTCTCACCATATACAATCATTTCACAAATCATTGTCATGAAAAGCAAACAATCACTGCAGTTCAGTTAAAAGGAACAGCAAGAAACCAGACATGTAGCAAAATAGTCTTTCATTGAGACAAATCATAAAAATGGCAGCTACTAAACATGTGGATCATAAGTATCCACCAGTCTTACAACAATTAAGAACATAATTTAGATCACAAATGAAAAAAAAAAAGAAGGAAAGGAAAAAAACTAAAAAAATATCTACAATGCAATATGCTCTCACAAATGAATAGAGATCCCAAACCCCTTGAGACATAGCAAGCACTTCACTAAAACAAGTGGTGAAAAAACAGGAAAAAAGAGAAGCAACTGAATAAATGTATATTCGACTCGATACCCCAATTATCCGATCGACCAAAACTCCCTCTCCGATTTTTCCGATACTCCACACGAGCATAAATTTCAAGAAGAAAAGCACAGAGTGTTTCAAGCTCGAGTGTTACCACTTCCGAGCGTGAGCTCGAGGTCATCCATTCCCACCTCGTGAATCCTCTCCCCTTCCCACGGCTTGACCGCCTCGACCCCGAAGTCCACCCCCTTTCCCTTATCCGTCACGTCACCACCCCCAGGCAGCAGCGGGCCTTCTTCCCGGGCCTCCACGGGCCTCATGAGGTTGAACGTGGGCGAGGCCGGCCCAGCCGCCGCTGCGTAACCCTGGAAGTTCATCCACCGGCCCGAGTCCACGGTGGAAGTATCGGACTCGTCACACTCTGGAATGGTAGCGGGCGTGAACCCGAGGTGGGCCCGGGATGGGCTGGCCGGTGCTGAGGCTGCATAGAACGGGACCTTGAGGGCCGACATGGACTCCTTGGCGAGGGCCTCCAAGTTGAAGGTTACCATCTTGGATGGGTCTCGGGTGGGGGAAGAGAGGGGAGGGGTCACGGGGGCACTGTTGGAAATCCGAAGTGGGGGTAGCGATGAAGAGATTGAGTTGAGGAGGAAGGCGAATGGGTGGGCTGAAGAAGGGGGTTCGGTGGGCCCGTTGTGGCGGGCCGGGCTGGGGAAGGAGGAGGAGGATGGGCTTGGCTGGTAGGAAGGGATGGGGCTTGCGAAGTAGGAGGAAGGTGGGCTCGGGTTACGGGAGGAGCATGGGGTGATGTTGGCGGAGGTTCCCCCGGTTTCCATCGGGGTTGGCTTGCATCCCTGTGTGTGTAAATTTGGGATCAAAACTTCAGATTAAACATTGTGAAGCTGTGTTTGTGTGTGAACTGTATGGATAATGTAAAACTCAGGAATTGAAAAAAACTGGGAAGTGAAGGCATCCACTATGATTTGAATTGCAATATAAATTATCAAAATTCAAGAATTTGAAGCTTAATTTATATACCCAGAAACTGAATAGTTGCAGCTAGAAGCTAAAGATTACATTTTCTTTTTTCCCCTTTAATTTACTGAAGAAGATATAACATGTAATTAGAGATTTAGATCTAAAATGCTACAAGATTAAATTAAAAGCATATTAAACACTAATCTTGATCCAAATACAGCAAACCCATTTCCTAATCCAGCAGATCTAAGCAAATCCAAGCAAAACCCATCAACAACACTCACATGAAAATAATTAGAAAATAAAAAACATGGAAAAAGAAGAAGAAGAAGAAGAAGTTAACCTTGCGATAAGTAGTGCCATCAGGCTCAACGACCCAGCCAGCTTCAGCACAGAGGGCTTTTAGAACTTCATTATTATCACAATGTTTTGGCAGATTGTAATTGCCCTGTGCCCTTAACCCAGCATAAATCTTGGCCGCAATTGCTCTCCTCCTCCTCTCTCTCCTCCGGTTGTTCTCTCTCTCCCTCCACGACGGCTTCCTCCTCCCCGACCCGCCGCCGTCTCCGGCGGATCCTCCGCCGGCTCCGAACGACGAAGCCGTCGATCCTCCAGCTTCCGACATCATTTTCTTGGGTTTTGCCCTGTCTAGAAGCTTTGATAGTAAAGATTGCAACTTTTTTTTTTTTTTCTTTCTTTTTCCAAAATTGAAATAAGGATTTATGGGTTGCGAGTGTAAATAGCGTCGCTGTGCTGGGCTCTTTTTAGTGGTGAGTAGCAATTAGCTTTGGCAGAATCTTGTGTTTTCTGTGGGTGTCTGTGCGCGTGTTTGCGTTCATATCGATGAGCACTGCAGAATTATTTATTTATTTATTTATTTATTTTTCTTGGCTGAAAGAGTTATTGAAGAGATTTTATTTATTTATGTAGTTGAGGTATAGAAACATTTAAAAGGAGTGATTATATAAGTTGCAGACTTGTATGGTAATTAGTTTGTTTAGGTTATAGCAGTGCAATACACGTGTATTAGATGTGTACTTGTTAAAAAATTTAAATGCTTTTTGAAAAATATATTGTTGTTAATATTATTATTATTATTTAAAATGACACCATTACATATATGATATAATATTTTTTTGAACTTATATCATATAACTACTTCATTCGTGAATTTATCTAATTGAAAAGTATTTTATTTTTTAATAAAAATTAATAGATAATTTAATTTTTATTTGTGAATATAAATCTAATTATTAATTTGTTTTATCATGCAATATAAATTTCAAATCAAAAGTAACGAAGAAATGATTGATTTGATATATTATAGATCAAAAATTGATAACAAATATAAAAGTTAACTTTTAAAATATATTTACTATTTAAGTTAGTAAAGTGTACTATAATTTAAAAGAAAATAAGATTAGGAGGAAAAGAAAGATTGAGAAAAAAACATGCCTTATAAACCTTATAAACCACACCCAAAGTAGAAAAATTATATTAAAATACAATTAAAGCTCATAAAAATTTTCATAATTATTCAATATTTGTATATATAATTTAAGTTCTAATTATTTATGGATTGGGAGTAAATTAAAAGTTATCCAATCCAAATGACTAATCATGAAAATTTGCCACATATGATCTCGAAACAAGCGAGTATACCACTTAGGCACGTCACATTCGAGAATTATATATCGAGCGATCGTAGATTTATTAAATAATATTTACATGCCATATAAAAAAAGACCAACTTTAAATAATTGTTCTCTAATGCAAGTGAAAATAGATTTATCTTGTTGATGCGACAGTAAGAAAAAAATACTCATGTTTACCTTTCAATTTATTTTAGACCAAATGGAGACCTGATAGATATTTTACGTTGGAATGAATTTTGTCATTTTTATTTAGTTTTATTCATGTCATTTAATATTTGATCGATAAAAAGTTATATCCAAAAAAAGGGAAAAGAGCTTTGACAAATAAAAAAACAGAACCATCAAAACAAAGACCGGTTCTAGTGCATTCATATGTTTATGTTTTCTTAATTGCGGTTCACCCGGTTCAAAAATGAAAACCCTTGAACCGTTAATTATCCACTCGAATTGGTAATTTCAAATTCAATTTAAAAGTTTCCTAATTGGAATAAAATGAATTGTCGGTCTTCTACATGACTTTTATGTTTATTGATGGTTCATTTGGCTTTCGAACCCAAATTGAAATTAAAAAATTGCTTAAATAAAAAATAAAAATAAAATGAACAAAATATTCACGTATTTTCAACTCAAATGTCATATTAATTATACAAAATAACATGAACAAAATATAATATATTATAATATAAGTATGTATTTTGTTGGGATGAGTAGCAACGGATTGAGCCGTTTAAAGGTTACGTTGTTTCATACATGAATTTGTGTTACGTTTAAACAGATAAAACATATATGCTTTTCTTAAAATAAAAAAGAAAATGTAGACTTATATATATAAGTAAATGCAAAGTTTAATATATCCTTTTTATATAATAAAAAATGTAGAATTACATAAATAAATACAAAATTCACAAACTAAAAATTTAGAATGAGTTGATAAAATATATATATTTTTTTATTATTTTAAAAAAAGAAACTTATTTTTCTGTCCTTCACTGAAACTGAACGAGAAGAGAAAAGCAAAAAGGCTGATAGAATAAATCTTATTTCATCACTTTCGTGCAAAAAGAAATTTTACGACAAAATTTTTTAGTGTTTTTTTTTCAGGCAGCATGGGACCATAATTGTCTCCTCAATTATTGGTCTGGTCAACGAACCAATAATAGTTTGACACGTATTCCAAAAATTAATTTATTTGTTATTTTTATGTTATTATTATTTTTTTTTTTTTTTTT